TGTTTCTGAAATACAATTCTTAAAAAACAAAGCAAGCTTTCAGTGTAGACTCAACCAAACAAATATTTGGCTGACCATTTAAGTAATTTTGTTTAGCATTGACTAAACAGAATAAAAGTGCCCAGATACAGCTATTAAGAAAGGGTTATTTCATTTTCAATTAACATTCTACCCTGAAAAAAATATCAGCTATGAAGTGTAGATATCTCTTAGGCTTTGTTTTTGCTTCTTTATACAGTGATTTTTGAGCAGTTAGCTCTAGTTGGCTGATACAGAACCTTTTGAGGAGATAGACAATCTAGTTTTTAGTTAGACAAAGTCAGCTAAGCAAGGTCACTCTTGTTTTCAGTGCCTTGCAGTTCTCGCCTCCTGCCTTGTCTTCAGTATGCAATAAGCAGTCTGTGGTAAAAGCAAGTTAGGCATCCCACAATTAAAACAAAACCCCTTAAACTCACATATTTTTTTGGTCAGCCATACCTGCTTTACCTGCCTAACTTCCTACAGATAAGCAAAACCTGATTGCATAAATGGCAAAACTGCACCCACAGTTTCGAATTTCAGGAAAGAAGGATCTGTCTCCTTGCATGCCCAAGTTCTTGAGCTGAGACTGTAAACGATCATGCCATTTGTAATGCTGATTTTGATACACCCACTTGCATGCCACAAAAGAAAACAGAGCCAGAGCACCCCCTCTTAGATAAGAGGACAGAGCAGTTATGAGATATGCCTGTGCTAGACAGAAATTATAATTTCTGCATAACTGAAAGGAATACACAAGATCTGTTCCTTATCAAAACTGTACTTTTATTTTAAGTTAAAACCTGAAGGGGAAGACTGTAACTCCAAGCAAGATTAAACCTACAATTCACTTTTTATCTTTAATTTTACACAGGGGTTTGACTTCAAATTATGGAAACAAAATTGCATTTGCATTAATGCAAGTTTTACAAACCACTCTCCAGAGTAAGCTACACAGCTTTTAGTCTCAGAGTGGAAGTGATTACACCACTTATGAAGTTTCTGCATTGTCTTATAATCATAAGTAACATTACTGAATATACTTAAGTTGTCTCTACAGTAATAATTCTATTTCCATATCCTTATATGCTGAGGCACAGACACGTGGGAGGTCCCGGTGGAGATGAGGGAGCAATGCAGTGGCACGGGGAAGAGCTGAAGGAGGCCCCAGAGAGAGAGAGCGCTCCAACCTGCTAAAGAAGTCATCCTTGCTCCTCTTTGCCAATAACTGTGTGAAAACCCCAGTGGCAAGCACAGATCACTCCAGCAGCTGATCCTCATCAGGAATGGTAAGTACTGCCCATTACCTTGAGTCCATACTAGAATCCATGCTGAGAACCAAAAGCTTGCAAACATGATGCTCTACCGGTCAGGAATCATGATGATTCTATGTAAAGAATTCCTGGGGCTTTTGCTCGTTTGATCTTTGATAACCACAAGAATGTGCACAGAAAACAAGTGAAAAGCATGTTCAAGTTGCAGTCTATCATGGAGAAGTTCTGAAATTTTAGTATTATCTTTATGACTTTGATTGCACAAAGGTGGCAAAGTGAGCTTTGGCAAAGAGAGCACAGCTGGTTGGTATAATTTATTCAGATTTCAAAAAGGTTTTTGACAAAGTTCCATGCATGGAGCTACTACAGAAACGAAGATATTGCTAGGGAAAAAAGGCAAACAAGTGTCATGGATGACTATCTGGTTGGAGCAAGTGAATCAAGTGTAAGATTAAATGTTTTAGGGTTTAGGTTTTTTTTATTATGACAAAAGGTTGACAGCAGGGTCCTTCTGTGTCCTATACTCAGTCTATTGTTCTTTAATATAATAACTCAGACCACTGAGAGAGGGAGAGATAGGAAGAGGTAAAAAACAGTAATATGCCAGAATCTGTAGATATCAAAAATGTATTTAGGAGAAAGGGAGATTGAAAGTAAGTTCAATGCAACTTCTGCTACATGAATGAACAGTGCGATAACAAAAGATTCACCACCGAGATGAATATGAAACTGTGCATAAGAGAAACTTCAAACAAGCTATATAACCTCCAAAGCTGATAGAGCCCCATGCTCAGTATGTAGCAGCAGCCAAAGATACTGCATAACATGCTGGATTCCATAAAAAAACAAGTCACAGAGTACTATCAAATCCATATATGTTGTAATTGGAGGCATAACATTGCTTAGAATACCACATGCAGCATAAGTCACCTTTACTGAAAAACAGAATATTGTAGCATTAAATAGAATTGGGAGAGAACCAAGGCACTGAGCAAAAGTTGGAAGTAATTCTCATAGGAAAAGGGTGAAAAATTTTCTGTCAAAAAGCAGTCATACTCAAATTATATAAAATAATGAATAGTACAGAGAAGGTAAACATGAATTTATGGGTTTTTTTTGGTCTTAAAGCACAAGATAATATTAAATTAAATAGATAAGGAAAAAATAAAAAAAAATGCATTTTTATGTAATTCACAACTCAACATACTACTCTGCCACTCGCTGCCATTAGAGTTTTAATGCTATGAAGATATTAAACTTTATACCAGTATAAAGACTACACACCTAGATCAGTAACAAAATCTGAAGACCTATTAAACTATTGCTCTAGTACTTATATTGAACTGTTAAAGATTTGGATACTTGTGGGAAAGCATTACCTCACATCTGCCTTCTGTAGCCTTTCCTCTTCCTCTGATACACTGAAACTAGTCAACATCATGGATAAGAAAAGGTGAAGAAGAATACCTGTGACCAACAGTAGCGATTCCTGTTTTCCCATGCACAGGGCAGATTTATTCACTGGAAGTTGTTTGTGGCATTGCGTTGCTCTTATTGCCATAGGCGTGACCTGCTCAACTGTGTTCTACCTAATTCTGTTCTGACTACAATTTAATAAATTTTCTCATAAACATTTCAATGGCATCTAAGTATTCCATAAAGATTAATGGATTTATTTTTATAACATCGTGGGAGGGGATGCTATCTGGTTTTTAAATGGCAAACTGGAATAAAAAGACTGAGATAACAAAGATCCACAAGCCTGATTTGCCTAGGTCCTGTCTTCCCAGAGTACTTCCTTCAATAGTTTCTATGCCCAAAATGCAGCCTTGCCTTCAACAGTTAAGCAAACACAGACCCAGGACCTCAAAGCAAAGCACTTGTAAAATAAGAAACACATCATTAGTCATGCAAGATATCACATGTGGCAATGTGACAAGGCAGAAACTTGCATACAACACCACAGTACACTGATAAGCCTACAGACAATCATGGAGCAAATAAAAATCCAGCCCCTACAGTTTTTTTTTTAATTTCCCTCCCTTCTTGGCATCCAGTTTTACAAATACTTACAGCATGTCTATGGAGATGGGTCCAGACAGAGCTGAACTTGCTCTGACTAAACCAAGCTGTTTAAACCTGTTGGTATAGATATATCTTGATGCACGTGTCTACCACTACTTACACAAGGAGCCGCACAGATGCCAAAGAGGCTCGTTGTGAAGCAGCGTGAACTGCTTCTGAGATACGATTATTAGTGCTGCTGTAGTTCCAGCAGATTAAGTAATACTAAAAACACAACCTCACCAACATGTGAAGGGAAAAGATAAACTGCAAAAATTACATATTGTCTTCCATACTATCTACTTCTGCTTGCAAGTAGAAGCCAATACTAACACTCATCATCAATTTATGGGCCACCAGATTACGGCATTTGTTGTAAAACCAAGTTGTTCATCAGAGTTGAGCTCAGGCAAACCACCTGCCCTCCTTGTTACAGCCTTGTTTCAGGTGTGTCAAAGCTTTACTAACAGAAAGTTGTGGGGGTTTTATCCACCCTAATGCCACGAATATGTATCAAGAGTCTTCAAGTGGTAAATGCAGTCAGAATTTGTTGACAGACCTGAGGTACTGCCTCAGGCAACAACTGCAATGGAAACTGCACAAACCCAATTTCTTGTCTTTCCCAGTGGTCCTACGTCTGAGTATATCCCTCCATACTCACACCCACGAACTAAGTTAGTTCAAAACAATGACTTTTCATGCACTTTATACCAGGGCAGCTAGGAATGAACAGCCACTGGTCCACCACCTGCTCCTACCAGCTAAACAGCTGCCACACAAAGTCAAAATCGATCTTTTCCTAGGATCCTTTAAAAAAATTCCTGGGAAGCCACATTGCAGCAGAGCTAGAAAGGCTGTTTCTACAGCTCTCAAAAAAAAAAAAAAAAAAAAAAAGAGAGAGAGAGAGAAAGAAAAAGAAAGCTGAATATAAAACTTTGCTTTTTTCCCTTTATAAAAGTGACCTTGCCAAAGAAGGGAGGAAAAAGTCAACCCAAACTTTAAAAAAGGAAGAAATAAAGAAGGAAAGGCAGAAAAGGGAGAGAGCTAGTTTCACAGATTTGCCAGTGGTTCCAAGGACAATGAACAGGCGTGAGGCGGCTCTGGCGGCACGGAGAAAAGGAAATCTCTTCGAATCCTTGACGTGTCTTTTGTTTAACTTCCCCTAATTGCTTTTTTGGCGTGACCAAAAAAGCCCGGACGGTCTGAACAACCAGTTCGAGGAGCCAGCCCTCACAGCTGGGAAGCTGGGCTTTTCCACAACAAAAACAAAACAGTAAAAAAACCAAAATAAAGCCATACGGCGGCGTGCGCGCACAACTCCCGCCCCCGAGCCACCAGTCCCTCGGGGGCACAGTTAGTGTGAAAACGCCCGCCCCCAGCGAGCCTCGTCCCCCCGACTACGGAGCTGTGGCACCCCTGGACACAACCGACGGGTGACGCGGGCACGTCGGCGGGAATGGGGTGGGAAGGGCGGGCGAAAGGCGCTCGGTCGGCGGGTAATGGCCCGGATCGCGCCACCGCCGGCGGGACCTCGGTCCGCGCCGCACAACCTCTCGCCTGGCGCGGCGCTGGCCCGCGACACCGTGAGTGAGTGAGTGAGTGAGTCAGTCAGTCAGTGTGCCGTGCCCGGCTCGCCTCACTGACCTACAGGCGCACTCGCCATGGAGCGGCCACCAGCCCCAAGGGTCACCCATCCCGGAGCGAGTGGCCAGCCTCGGGCTGACACCAGCTCCTTGTTAACTGACGTGACTCACCAGCTGCCCTTCCCCCCCCCGCCCGGGATGTAACAGCTGTTTTATCTCCCGCTGTAATTACGCCACATAAAAATAGTTACAAGGTACTTGGGGGAGGGTTTGCTGTTAAAACGCTGTTGCTTCCCCTGGTACAGCGAGCGCGGGTTTGTGCGGGTGCCCGCACCGCCGGGAGCGGAGGGTAGTGTGCAGCGAGTGATCCCTGCTCTGCCGTAGGAATCGATTATTTCATCAGCCGTTTAAGGCGCCCGTTGCTCACTCCCCGCGCCTGCCCGGCCGGGAATAACTCCGCACGTGGCGGTGCGGGAGTGACACAAACACGCTTCCGTGGAATCAGCAACGCCGCAGCCACACGCCTGTTTCGAGGCGAGGCGGCTTCTTTTACTTTCCACGGCGAAACCTTCGCCCGTGACGCTTCAGCACGCGGCTGGGCGTCCTGCACTTTGGAGCAGGGGCACCTGGCTTTGTCAGGCGGGCGGCGGGGGGGGAGGGGGGGAACGGGAGCAGCTGCCGAGGCCGTCGGTGTCCGGGGAGGGCTCTCCCCTCCGCGACGCTCGGAGGGAAGCTGGAGCGAGCTGCTGGTTGGTCCCGCGTTTCCCATACCGGAGGAAAATAAACTGTTGCTGTGCAGCGCGTGCTCGCCCGAAAGGGATGAGTCAAGCTGTGAGACTTCTCTCTTTTACAGCTACGAGCATGTGCCGCAGCAAAACCTATCGCGCGGGCGGGGGGAGTGGAGGGGGAGAAAAACAACCTTTTACGAACTGATGTAAAAATAACCGCAGAAATGGGGCTCGCCTTCCCCGCGGGGGCAGGAGGTGGCCAGCACCGGCCAACCAGGGCTCTCTCAGCACCACTGGGGATGGGGGGGGAACAGCCTCCACTCGGCAGCCGGAATGGGGGCGCCGGTCTTTGGAAGGCTCTTTTCCTTCCCCTGCCGTACGAACTCTTCTTTCTTCTCCCCTATTCACGCGAAGGAGTGGGTGGTTCGTCCGGCAGCAACAGGAGGAGGCCAGTCAAGGGCAGCTGTCACAATCTCCCCCCACCGCCTCTTCCTTCTCCTCCTTCCCAGTTTAATGATCAAACGTCTGCTTGGAAGAAAGGCGAGGGAGCGGGAAGCACGCAGAGCTCCCCCCGCCGCCGCTGTTGTGTGTGCATGAGCGAGCGGGTACGGGCGGACACCCCCCCGCTCCGGCCGGTCCCTCCCCTCCCGGCCTGCTGGGGCTCTGTCAGACGGGAGGGGAGGGAGGAGAGAGGAGGAGGAGGCAGCCGCCGCGAGTGCCAGTGCAGCGCTCGGTTACTCTCCCGTACTCACTGCGGGGAGGTGGGGGAGGGCGGGCGCTGTGTACCTTTTTCTCCCGTGCCTTTCCTCACTTTAACAGGCCAGGGCCAATCGCCGGCAGAAGGGAACAAAGGGAAGGGGGGAGGGAAGCCCACCCCGGCCACACCAGAAAGCCCCCGGGGAGGCAGAACCCTACGGCTCCCGCTGACAGCAGCGCGGCCCCGGACCGGGTGCCTGGCTCCGCGGCGGTGCTGCTTCTTTCTTCGTCGACCTTCTCCTTCTCCTTGCCGAGCTTAAAGGGGGAGCAGCGTCCGGCGAAGGGAGAGAAACTTGGGTCGGTGCGTGGGGTGTCCTGCGATCGGCTCGGTCCTCGCGATCAAGATGAAAAGTAAAAAAGGTAGTTGTGATGGGGCGCCGGGACAAAGCGGGGTGCCCCGAGCACCTGCCCGGGGTGGAAACGGGAAGGGGGGCTGTCGCTAAGTCAGGCGGAGTCTCTTTACCTTCTAGGCCATTTTGTCCCCCGTGGCCCCCCACCACCCCCTGGCCTGGCTCCCGTGGAAGACTGCAGTGGATGCTCCGCTCCCAGACAAAACATGCGGGGCTGTTGTTTGGAGGCGGTCGCCTCTCCGCGCTGCTGGCTCTCTGTCAGAAACATGTCCAGCCGCCCGCCTCGTGCCTCCTCCGCCAAGTTTTGTTCTCTACCCCTCCGCCAAGCCTCTTCCCCCCGTCCTCTCGTAAAACACTTTTAAACGGTTTTCCGCACCAAGCCCTGCCGTCCCGGTGTGTGGGGACGAGGGTGCAGGTCGTTTTCCCAACTTGGGGCGAGGAAAGCGGGGCTGTCCGGCAACTCTTTGTTCGCGGGCACGGCATCTTGGGGTTGGGGGGTGGGCATCGGCGGGAGGGCTTCAAACCCCCTCCACGCCCTCGGCCGCCTTGATTTGTTGAAAGTTGATGCCTTTTCCATCCCTTTTATCCCTTAAAACGGGACGAAACAAAAAGTACAAAAGTTTTGACACAAGGTTGAAAGGAGAAAGACTTTTTTTTTCCTTATAAGCATAAGGCTCTTTAAGTTTTCTTTCTTTGTTCACTTCTAAACTGACAAACTTTACAGTTAGAGGATCGTTACTCATTGCGCTCGTGGTGCTTTTAAGTGCCTTTAAATTAGTCCTTGGCCACAAAGACGCGGAACGTGCTTTCGGATTTAACGCTCCTACGCTGGCTGGGAAGAAGTTCACAGGAAAGCAGTGTCTGTTCAGTTGCGATTTGCCAGTCGGTGGTGTGGTTGAAGGGTGTTTTGCATTCAAAGACCATTAAATGCTCCGAAGTGGAGGGTTAGTGGGGAGCAGTGCGCATGTTCAGTACTCCAGAGTTGTGCTGTTTTCCCCCTGCTACGCATTCCTGCGGCTCTGTAGTAGGGCAGCCTCCTCGCTCATTGTTAATATCCTCGGAGCAATTAATGCATATGTAGTTCGTGAAATCATTGGGCTGCTGCAGACATGATGTGTACTAATATGGTTTGTAGCCTTCGTCAAAAGTTTTTTTGGACGTGCCACTCGGCTAAGAGGAGCGCACACAAAAGGGAACTGAGCCACAAAGGCGAAGTTTAAAGAGCGGGCAGGGTGGTGTTGGGGAGCGCAGCGTCCCGTGGGAGCGGAGTGGGGCTTGATCCCGGTCACAGCCTGGGCTGCACGCCGAGCTCGGCCCCCTGCGCACAGAGACAGTGGCAGCGCTGGCTTTTAAATGTTTCCGTCGTCTTAGGCAGGTTGAGATTCTTGACCCTATTGGGAGCAGTTTGTGGCTTTTCGCGTCCATCCCCTCCCCCCCCTTTTTTTTTATAGTTTCACTGAATTAATTTAGCCCAGTTATTTTTAGGACATTCCTATGCTCCCTATTTGCACAGCAGTGGTGAGCTGGTTTCCTGTCTGCTGTTGCTTCCATTGTTCAGACTTCTCTCCCCGAGGGCAGCTGCTGGTTGGTGAAATACCAAACTCCCTGCACTTTCAACTGTTGTTCTTGCCACCCCCGAAATAAATGCGTGTAGAAAACGCTGACGTAGTTTCTAGGTATGCATGTGTAGGGCTTTGTGTGTGAGAGTGTGTGTGTGTAAGCTCTGCTTTGAGGATTGCAAATCCTGGGCTGAAACAATGGAAACAATGAAAGGTGACAGGCGGGAGGGAGAACTTTTGAGAGGGGCCGTGGGCCTGGGGTTTGCGTGGCACAAATTCAAAGGTGGGGAGACAAAGACGGAAACTTTAAAAGATGTTAGGGCTGGGGTGCCTTTGTTTTAATAAAAGTTGGGCTTGTAGTTATTTGTGATCTGGCATTCGAGGCTCATTCAGGAAGTTTCAAAGAGTGACTTTATTACAGATTTCTTGCTTGCACTCCTAGCAAAATCCCATTTAAAAGCAAAAAAAGTATGGTACAGCCAAGTCTGGCTGGTTTAGAAGCAATAGAGTGCAAGCTGTGAAGTGCAGAGAAAAAATAAGCTAGTTCCTAAATTACAAAACTTATTCAGAGGAAAGAGGTTTTTTTTCTCTGGAAATTCCCTTCTACATCCTTGTAGTTCTTTGTTACTTATGAATAATTTTAAACCTTTATTTTTGTTGTTGGTGTTTAAACTCACATTAAATTTTTATTAGTTTTTTTGGTATGTGTGTTGGGTTTTTAATTTTTTGTGTGTTTGAGTGTGGTGTGTTTTTCTTGTTGGTAGGTTTTGATGGGCTTTTTGTTTGTTTTTGTGCCCCTTTTTTAAGCTAACAGGCTGTGGATTAAAACCCCGAGGACTCTTCTATGGATAGTTTCATTTACAAATAATAACGTGATAGCAATCACACTGAACCTACTCGGCTTGTTAATTAGCTGATTTAGAACACAGTCTCGCAAAGGCACAGGCATGTGCTCAAGTTTATACATGTGAAGAATCTTACTGCACTTGGTTCCAACAGGATCGGGGCCTTAGATGGGAACTGGTTCTGTTTATCAGTGCTCGTAAAAAAATCTGATTTAAGATATTCAGAGAACCCAAAGGGGTGGGAGGTTTTCTTTAAGGTGATTTTTGTCCATCCCTTCTTTGGAGGGCAGAGATTGTTCCTTGTGGCATACTTTGTCCTCTTTTGAATAACAATTGGCTTCTGCCACTTCCTCAGTGAAGCTCTTCCTCGACACAATGGGATAGTTGTTTTTTGGTGTGGGTTTTTTTTTCACTGATACTCAACCTAAATTTTTCATTTGCTTAACTTCCATTTTATTTGTCTCAGTCTCTCTAAATACTTTGTCCTCCCTCTCAAAGTATTTCAGTATGCCTTTTTAAGTGGCAGTAGTTTATTTTGAAATCAGCTTTAGTCATCACTGTACTTTTACTCAAGTTGTTTCAAGCTGTTAACTAACGTTTGGGTGTTGAGCCTAGACTGGAGATCCTAGGTGTAATCTTCCCCGAGCTGATTACGGGAGGACCTGTAAAGTCTTTTGGCTGTGATACAACGCAACAGTGCATTCAATCATGTATATGACTTCAGCTGGGAAGCCAGGAGGATAAAGTGATTGATAAAGAAGAGATGCTGATCATGTAGTCCTTAAGTCATTAATAGTGTGGACTGGTTATTTAAGTAGCTATGGTGGAAGTGGAGGACTGGGATTTTATGTGGTTTCTCAGACCTCTCTACAAATAAACTCGTGCTGCTTTAATTTAGTCCTACTAAAGCAGGGTTTTTTTGTTTGGATTAAATGTATTTAGGAGGAGACAAAAAATAATGTGGCCCTAGCCTGCTTTTAATACAAAATAAATTAGTAGGTCAGCTGGGGCTACTCATAGTGTCCACAGGCCTTTATTCTGGGTGTAAATAACAGTAAGCCAATGGTCCAGTCGTGGAGCC